CCCCAAAACCCCAAAACCCCAAAACCCCTGTAATTAAATTTAAAATTGAATCAAATATGATCTTCCACCGAACCCTAAAAACTTGGAATGCTTGTTGTAGGTGCTTTTATATGGCTTTAAGATTTTAATCCCAGGGTTGACTTCTTATTACTCAAACCCTTTTCGAATAATCTCATTTTCCATAAGAATTTCAAACTTCTGAGGCATATTGACCCTGGCCTTATTTACAGTCAAAGTATAGATAATAGGGAATCCTTGGTTAGTTTCTCCTACAAAGAACAGCTTTTCATCAGATTGAAGGAATAAATTTGAGCTTCCTTTCTGTTTCCTGACATCTTCTTCAATACTTGATTGGAGTGTTTTGAGCATATCAAACATTCCTTCATAGCCAGACTGTTCTTTCTCTTCTCCAACTCTTTGCTTTTCTTTTACTACAAATGAGTGTAAGAATTTGACGCTATGCTCAAGCTGAACCTTTCTTCCCATATCTTGGGTTATTATCTTTGTGTTATCCCAATAATTTCCAGAAATATTGTAAATGAATCCATTACGTTTCACATATTTTGATGAAGATTTCTGACCGCCAAAAACAAGTATTTTGTCACCTAATGAAACACAGCCGCTATTTATTGCAATATCTGAGAAATGATGTTCCTTAGTGCACAAGTTGAATAATTGATTTTTATCAAGGAGATGGTCTATACTGATAATCTCTACTTGATCAACATGTTTTGTCTTGCCTTCAAAGTTCTCAATACCTCCAATAGCATATATTTCTTCTCTAAGTTGGCACAAGGAATGATGAGCACGGCTTTGATTTAGTTTAGCACAAGGGAATAATTCATTAGTTTCAGGATTAAAACAGTAATTTTTATCATTCATGTGGTTACTACCTGGGTCAAACCCTCCGCTAATCAGGATCAAATTAGAACCCTTGTAGTGCATTCCGATGATCGATTTGTGAATCAACTTTGAACACAAATTTTTAGAGGCTTCTTGAACCTTCTCTACTGAAATTTCAGGTATGCTAAAATCTATCTTATAAATATTTCTATTGAAACTCCTGTCGTGTTTGAGGTATCCAAATAGGTATATACAGTCATTAATACAGACATAATCCCCTTGGAAGTATCCAGGAAGAGCAGCTGTTAGATCTTTGATCGAGAATTTTGACTCATAGTCTGAAAGACTCTTTAAGTAAAGATGAACTTTTCTAAAAGGTCAATAGCAACTTACTTTTCATTAGTAACTCTCAAAAATGCCAGCATTGTACAAGCGAGGGGTTGGAGAAAGCTATTAAGTTTCGAATCCTCCTTAAATCAAGTCATCAGTGATGAGGATTTATTGACTGATTCTGTATGAGAAGAGGAATTAAATTTATTGCTTTGTTTAAAACTAGATTCTCATCCTATTTTTGAAATTAACTTCTTCTCCTGCTTTTCTGGAGGAGTGGTAACTCTTTGCTTTTTGATTTCTTCAAAATCATCTTGCTTTACTTTCATCAATTTTTGATCTTTCACACAAGAATCTAAATTAGATGGTCCATCATTCTTTAGGAATTCTTCTTGCTGTGATTCAGACTCATCTGAAGAAATCTGCTTCTCAAGTGACTTTGGCTCATCTTGTTCAATCTCATCTCTTAAACAATCTTCTTCACTTTTGCAACTGTCCCTCCTCATTTGTTCTTTATTATCTAATTTTTTCTGAGCCTCTAAAGATTGCTCAAAATTCTGTAGTTCCACCACGTCATTCTCTTGGTCTTGGAAGGACTCTCCTTTTTTGGGTGAGTCTTTGGATTCTTCTGTATCATCTTTATTAGAATTTGATTTATGAGTTTCCTCTTCTTCACTTGAGCTTTTCTCAGAACTTTCTTGATGAAAATCATCAGAGTTCTTATCAATCTCGCTGATTGATTCAGTCAATTTTAACAAAATTATTTGCTGCTGGAACTTCTCACATGATCTATTGATGATTTCTGGTATGAAGGTATCTATAATGAATTGTAATCTAATCAGCTAATATTTAGCCTTACTTTCAAGAGATTGAGTATTTACTTCTAAATCACCAGCATTCTCTTTAAGACTTTGATGCATCTTTAGAACTGGCTCCACCCATTGTTGAGGGTTGATAAAACTGCTATTAATTGGTAATAATTCTCCCTCTTTCTCAGCAATGAAATTACTAGAATCATAAATGGACTGAACCTCTTCAGAGGTTCGTAGAACGTAGTCACTAAGCTTTGCCTTTATTAAATGTTTATCAACTTGTTTAAAATTATCTATAATTTGGTGGATCTTTTCTTGAAAAATCTCTAAAAAATGAAAACATTTTTACTTTCGAGTTCAATTTTTGAATAAAATACCATGCCAGCATGGACACATGGTTGACACCTGTCTTCGATCACTCTTGAAGTAATTCATTCATTATGGGTTTTACAAAAAGCTAGCAATATTTGATGGTCTTTGAATCCTATTTTGTTTAAAAATATCCAAAAGCTGTCGAGAAATAAACAAAATTAAACAAAAATGTTGGCTGGGATCAAATTTACTCAAATACGAAATTTGGCAACAAGAATCAAATCTTACTACTAGCTGGGCCAAATGTACAATCCTGATCTGTTCTATCTTCTCAGCTTGAGTCTTCATCTTGAGCTCAATGTATTCCTCATGGTGTGTTAAACTGCATAAGCTCACTAAGTCTAACTGAGAGTTGAGCTGCATTATCTTCTGAGATACTTTCTTGAAGATACCTCTCCTCTACAACTCTTCTGACCTCCTGCTCTACCTCACTATCCTCCACTAAAACCTCTTCACACTCAGAATGCTTCACCTCTTCCACTTCAACACAAAAAGATTTCCCTCACTCCACACAGTAAGAGTCCCGCATGGGCGTGTCTCAGGAAGAAGAAGTTGAGGAATTTAGGGGCTATTTTTGTTTATGAAGAACTTACGTTGTGGGTAGTGAGCTTTTTGAAGCGGCTTAGTTGGTCGAGCTAGAGGAAGGAAGTGAGAGGAAGGAAGGGAGAAGTGGGGTTTAGTGGGGAAGGAGGGAATGGGGGAGGGGAGAAAGGAAATTGGGGGATTTAGGGGAGAGTAGGGAAATTGAAGGATTTAGGAGAAGAGACTTACTGATAGTAAGTATTTCTGGATTATTGTCTCGAATTTTTGTGTATATGCCTTTTCCATCTCTAGATTTATTTAATTATGAGCTTGTACAATTTGGTTGATCGTTTACGGGGTTTTGGGGTTTTGGGGTTTTGGGGTTTTGGGGTTTTGGGGTTTTGGGG